TATGTATAATATATAATACAAATATATTATACTTTTTCCTTTCCTTGCAATTAATAATGTGAGGTTATTTTCCACTTCAGTTTAATATAAAGATATTTAAATGTTTTTGCAGTTTTTCCTCTTTTCCAAAATGATGTGAGGAATTTAGTGGATTTTAGTACTTACATTTTTTCCATTAATTTCTTGGTTAGTGTTTTTTTTTTCTTATTTAAAAAAGAAATTAAAGAAAAATATTCCTTTGCTATGAAGGAGCTTAAAAGATTAAAGTAGAATTTGTCTGGACAGAGCTACATGATTGTTTACATACTGAATGTAAGAGACAACATCAACATAAAACTGAGGAAGGGTTTTAACTCTATATTATTAAATGTTGCAAATATATATGCAACTGGAATGGCACATCTGTTTTGGTAATTCAGTTTTTAACCCAGCATTGGGGTATGTGCTTGTTGTGCTGTTTCTAACCTTGATGTCCTTCTTTTTCTTGTTTGTTCATACAGTGGCATTCTGTGTTACTTGAAATTTTACATCTTCCCTTGAACTTTATATTGGAAATTTGTACTAATTCTTTCAGAATCTAGGCTACAATTAGAGAAACATCCCTTGCAAGAAAGTAGTTGTGATACAAAGCCTGAAATTATCTCTGAGTAGGAATGCTTGGTCTGATATTCCAGCTGAAAAGAAAATATGAGTTAGCACAGCATGAAGAAACTTCTGTTTGTTGAAAGTTTATCTGTACAGCTGGAGTGTTCTGTAGATAAGGATGTCTTTTGCTGTAATGTTATAAAGACAGTTACTGAGCTGATGCAAGTTGGTATAAACTTTTGAAAGTCAGACATATATATTCAAATATTTCTTATGTGCAACATTTATTAAAATGCATTTGCTAGGCCATATGTCTTTAAAAGTAGCAATGCCTGTCAAATTGTCTCATTAACCTGTCTGGTTTTCTGTTATGACCATAGATTCCAGAGCAGTTTGGCCCAATAAGAACAGTAGCAGAGGGAAAAGGGGACGTTGTATTAATAGGAACCACTAGAAACTTCGTCCTACAAGGCACGCTATCAGGAGATTTTTTCCCAATTACCCAGGTAGGCTGTTGCCTTTCAGGATAATTTCTAAGTGTGTAAAAGCAGTAAAGATATTGCTCAAGTTTAAGCTTCATAAATATGCATCTATTTGATTTATTATTACAGTACTTTTGGCAATAAATAACACTATATATATGCATCTGTCTAAGACAACGTATTTTTGTAATGCTTTAATAGATAGTTTAGATCATTTTAATCCTGTTATAAAATGTTTAGTTTTGATGGTACTTTCCTTCTTGTCAAGAAACATTTCTGCTTGTGCAGGGTCACACTGATGAGCTCTGGGGACTTGCAGTCCATTCCTCTAAGCCTCAGTTCTTCACTTGTGGGCATGACAAACACATTACCCTCTGGGATGCTACCACTCATCGTCCTATCTGGGACAAGATTATAGAGGTATGAATTTGTTGAACACAACTCTACTCCTCTTACAGAACTTCTGAAGTAATAGGGGTTTTTTTCATAAGATTATTGACTTTAAGACATTTAAAAGTATTAAGTTGAGTAAAAAATAATGAGAGACTCATAAAATTTGTCTTTCTGTAAATGGACCTAAAACTCTTAAAAATGAGAATTTAAAACCCTAGGTTATATGGGTCTATGTGCTGTATCATACAGAATTCCATAGTATAGTGCTGCTGACATGGTGTTTTTCACTAGGAAGAGAACTACAAATACTAAGCTAGGAAATATTTGTCATTTAAAAGTAGTTCTGATCAGGATTACTGCTGCTACCACTATCCTGAGCATGATAGAATTCAGAAGAAAAGATATTTTTGTGACATTATTTGGCTTTCTTACTTTCTATAATTGGTTAGTATTTTTATAGATTCTGTTCACAAATAAACAAATTTGTGGTTTAGAATTTCACTTACTATTTCTGGTATGAAACTCGGTGTTGAGGTATTTAAGGAATACAGAGCAGAGGTTCAGGTTTTTACTGTGCTTAGATACTCAGTTGTGCATCTGCAGACTCCTAAGGGCTTTGGGGTAACACGTGATCTTGATTACTACATGTATCACTAGGAATTGATTTTTAAAGTACTTATTTTGGACACCTCATCATTCTTCTAATTGTTTATAGGTTGGAAGGCATTGGCTTATCTCTTAGAGACAATGGTGATGCTTTTACCTCTCTGTTATGAGATGCCACTATCATGATTTTTTCAGTCTTTTCTTTACATTGTTTCAATAGATGTGAGAGTGTCCTTTATTGGAGATAAATGTACTGATTGTAATAATGAAGTTATTTCTCAATCTTTATCTGTCCTCTGTACAGTAGAAAAGTTCAAAAACTGCTTCAGGAAGAAATAGAACCTTGTGTATATATATATACCCAATACCCAGGTTTGCAGATCAAATTGTGGCCAGTAACTTAGAGATGACCCTCATGTGACTGTTTAAAAGTGTGTTCTGTGCGATAAAGTAAATAATACTTTATTAGTTTACATGAAGTTTTAAAAATCTTAATTATACAACTTTTTTCATAAAAAAGATTGTTCATTTTCAGGCCTACATAACAGTTTAAGTTAGAGCTAGTATTGATAAGACATCTTGAATACAATATGTCTGCAGCAAGGGTTGCTGTTGCTGCAGGAAGTGATACTGTTGCATCAGGTTCAAGCAGTCTTACCAGAACAGCATTTGCCAAACTGCCTCTCACAGTGTCCCACTCTAGTTGTATGCACTTGTTAAATCGTGCCTGCTTGATGAATGTGGAAACTGGGATTCGTTTTGTCTAACCATGGTCCCATATTCTAAGATCCATATTTTTGTTGACTTCTAAATTAACTGGAGACACCAAATCAACACTTCCCCTGCCTCAGAGACGGCACTGTATTTTCACAGTTCAGTGCCTAGGTTATAAAGACAGATTGGTGTGTAGTGTAAGAAATTAAAAGAAAGGAAAAAGAAAGTAGTTCTTTTAATTTAAAAATAAACAAAACCCAAGGAAATCAATAGTACTAGGGATTTGGTCTGAAAAGCAGGCAGATAATTGCATTTTCCTACTTCCTTGTCATTCTAGAGTTAAAGATACATTAATATGATTTGGATTTAAAAGTAAGCTCTCCCCTTCAGTCTTTAGGGAAATGGTCAAACCTTCAAACATACCAAAATCTTAATCTGCTTGCAAATCTCTTGAACTGCTACAAAGATGCCAAATGCAAGATCAAATAAATACCAGCACATTTAGCCTGCAAACTTAAACAGTAAAACATATTTTCAAAAATCAATAAGCAGTTATAAACTAAATTTTCCTGTGTCTGTCTCAGTAGACTATCTTAAGGAAAGATAAATCTGTGGGTTTTTTTTGTTTTGAAATACAGCAATAGCCGTGTACTGTATTGTGCTGTATGGAATATGAACACTCTAGATTGCAGAAATCCTTCCCATGCAGTTCAGAGTGACACGACTGTGACACGACTGTGACACGACTGGAAAGTTTTACACAGACCTTCCTGGTCTTCAGCATATTTTGTCTTTGTGAAGACATGATTTAACTGTTTAGAAATGGTGCATGACTGGTTTTGTGCAAGTCTCATTTATAAATATTCTGATGTGGAGAGTAAAATCATTGATGCCATTTTTTATGCTTTCCTAATGAATTTTGGTTTTGTCTGAAAAAAAAAATCAGCATGTAATTCAGTTGCAGGTGATCCTTTACTCTGCTCAGTGTAAAGTTGTATGGTTTTGTGTACTTGCATACACTTTCAAAACCATTGGGAGTGTAAGAAGTTAGTACTTCTGAAGTATTTCTCATTACATGAACGATATACTAAGGAGGGCCTAGAGTAATGAAGATAAGTGCAAAATTTGGCACTTTGTTCTCTTGCAGTCTAAAGAAAAAAGCATTTAGAAGTTTGGGCTGATAGTGAAACATCATTAGTGGAGATAAGTACAATATAGGGAACAGGAGCAAATCTGTTAATCAAATAAGCTGCTGTCTTGGAAACAAGGTTACTGAAGTAAGCATCAGCTCAAAAAAGGACATAATTTTCCTTTTTCATCCTTTCTGTGCTCTGAAAAACAGAACTGGAGTTTAACTGATTATGATTTACAGAGAGCTTCAATTGATATTTAGCTCTGCTTTTGCATCTATAAGACACTCTACAAAACTTGTCATTGAAACATTTAAGCTGCTTTATTTACCTTGATTCTTTTGAGAAGGTTGATGGCAAGAGCAGTAGAACTATTAATCTAATTTAGATTGATTTGTTTTCCTCTCCATTCATTAAGACAAGATTTCTATTACCAGTTTTGAGAATAATCTCCCTATTAACCACTTGAAATGTCTGAGACTATATTTCATAAATCGATGACTGATTATCTAGAGTAAAATAGTATCATGTTAACCTATTTTTGTCATAGAGATCTACGTAAAAGCTTTTTAATGTAGTTATGAGTACAAGTTACTGCTCAGATTAAATTCACTGTTTGAACCTCTGGTTTATTCAAGAGAATATTTTAGCATTTACTGTGAAATTATACTTCTAATAAGTAAGCAAATTTTCCTTTCTGGACTCCCATAATGGCTTAGGACATGTATAGTAATCCTGATTCTCAACTATTCTCTGAAATTTCTTCAGAGTTAGTAATATCTATAGAAATCAGTCACTTTGAAATTAATCCTACAGCTAGCCTCTAGGGCTAGTTATGACAAACTGCTAAAAATGTGAACAGGTTTACTAAAATGGCTACAATGTGATACTGTTTTGGAATATAGAAAATCAAGAATGATATATGTGACTGGAACATTTTTGCTTACATTTAAAAAGTATTTTTGGCAGGTGTTAGAAAAAGTAAGCTATTTATTTTGGGAATTTCTGCTATAACCTGAAGAGTTCTGGAGCTTATTCTTTGTCTTATCATGTTTTTTAGGCACAGATTTAAAATGCAAGAAAAACATTGCAAACCTGTCTCCATAGTAATACACTGTACCAAGTAAAATGTTTTAAAACTGCATATCAAAATAAGAAACCCAGTTTATGCCCGTAATCTACCACCAAGCTGTAACTGGCAGGTGCTGAAAAAGGTGTTGGTGTGCACAGAAGCTAAGCTTTACCCCTTTGTGCAGAGCGATACATACCTCTGTTGAAGAAGGTGCTTGTTTGCCCTTTAGCCAGGGAGTAAACTGCAGCTTTGATAATTAATTGTTAGGTCAGTTCTAATTTAATAAGTTATTTTTATCTCTTACTTGTTTGGGATTTGTTGAGAAGCTGCCTTTGCCAATGTTATTGTTATGACATCACTTGCCAAGTTATTTTTAGATTGTGAGGAAAAGAAAGCGGTGGCCTTGTATAGCAGGAAAAAAATCTATTGGGTAATATTTCAGTCAGTTAATTATTTTTTCCCTCTCAAGTTTGTATTTAAAAAAATCCAAAGCAACAGACAACCCAAAAGACAACGAGAGACTTACTCTGTTCCTGAGGCAGATAACTGAACTGTGTTTTTGTTATAACTTGCACTGGTTAAAAAGTGTGCTTCCTTCTGAAACATTTTAGGATCCAGCCCAGTCTTCAGGTTTTCATCCTTCAGCATCTGTTGTTGCAGTAGGGACGCTGACCGGCAGGTAAGGCTCCCAGAGCTACACCTTAGGCACCAGCAAGCTCTGCATGATTTTTCCAGCTCATGTCCAAGTTCATGTTCTTGTTTTGCAGATGTGTGCGTGGCATACATTCATCCTCTTTTGATTGCTGTTGATTTTCAGAGTGAATTTATTTGTAGTGCCTTAGTGCATAGAAACTAGTGTTGGACCAGTGCCTCATGTTTGCTGAGTGTTACATGAACACAGAATGAAGAGATGATTTCTGCCCTGGGAGAGCAGGAGTCTGAGATCAGTAGGAGGAGATGGATTTGGACTGGGCAGGAAGTCTAAGTCAGTAGCAAGAGCACATGTGGGAGGTGATGTCACCATACTGGTGACCCTAATGTCAAACCTTTCTGTGCACTGTGGCAAAGGACAGGCTCAAGGAGGAGTCTGAGATGAGTTAACTTTGCAGATGTGTACAGAGATCTTCTGTGAGGCCTGTAGGGCAGCATAGAGGAAATCACATAGAATAAGGTTGCTCATTGGAAAATATAGCTAGTGGTTTGTTATCTCTAATGCAGTGACAACCAGAGGCTTTAAAAAATAATTGGCAAATGTTCCACTGTGCTAGACATAGTGTAAAAATGCATATTAAGACACTTGTTCTGCCTGAAGTGTGTAAGGCATAAAAAAGACTGACGGAACAAAGGTGAAAGAGAGTTTCTCTATTTTACAGAGCAGACTGAGCCCTTGGTCACACAGTGGGTGCACGGCAGACCCTGGGTTTACCTTGGTTGTCTGTCACGGGAGGAGGCAGTGCCTTTGTCGTAACTTCAACCTCTCTTTAATGTCACTTGAGGGCAGACTTTGCTGTTAGTGCTGATAACAGTTCCACTTCACTGAGAACATATAGGGTGCGTATAGGTTATGAGCCGAGATTCTTTCACATTGTATATAAATCCTATAAAGGGTTTACTTTAGTTACTAAATTTACTTTAAGTTGCTAATTTATTTACTAAAGTAAATCAGAAGGAGAAGCTTTCAGGGAAATCTTTACCTTGTTTTCAATAATTCAGTGCAAGTATTGTAATGCAAATTTTATCTTTGTCCTTTCTACATATTTCCACAGATTAAATTTTGGTTCATTAAAATTGATTAATTGAATTAAATGAAATTTATTTTAAGATAATGAATTAACTTTAAAAATAATTTTAAAAGCTAATCTTTCTATCAAAATAGGAGAGTCCTCTTTCTTGACTGTGTGCTTTACTTTGCTCTAGGATTTAAAGTAGTCTTCAGTTTAAACAGAGAAGGATTGTTACGTGTAATACTTACTTTATTCTAATGCATGTCATCTAGTAAAACAGACTAAAATCTGAAGATTGATATTGCGGTCAGTGTCTGATGTTTTTTTCTGGCAAAAAAGCATGGGAAAGAAAGTATCCTTGTGTTAAAGTAAAAGAAACCAAACTGAGTAGCAGTTGCTGTTTTTCTTCTGTTGGTGTAAAACTTCTGCTATTTTGACAGGAGAGAAGTTGGTCAAGATTACAGTAGATTTAAATTCCTTATAGAATGATTTATTGGCCTCTTTCTGTATTTACAACAGGTGGTTTGTGTTTGACACAGAAACAAAAGACTTGGTCACTGTACACACAGATGGAAACGAACAGCTGTCTGTAATGCGTTACTCACCAGGTTTGAGAACATTTATTTACTAGGTTAAAAAAAGCTTTTTTTTTTTAATTAAATTCAGGTTTGGTTTGATTTAAAATAATTCCCCATTTGCCATACTGAAGTTGAAAATGAATATGCTGTGAAACATTGGCAACACTGAATGGGTGGTGCCCTAAGCTCTGGTTTTCTTTTCCTTCCCTCCCTCCCCCACATGCTCAGTATGGTTTCACTGGGAAGAAATAAAAACAAATGTGACCTAACTGCATAGGTTGTTGCAATCAGTTTAGCCCAAAATGGACTGTAGGTGCTTCCAGAAGTGTTGCGTTTCTAACAGTAATAGTTGCTGCATAAAGTTGCTGTTTTGTAACATTGAAATGTGCATCGATATGCAACTGAAAAGAAAAAACAGAATTTTATTTTTTCGTTTTTCAGTATCAAGGCCTTTAAGAACAGTTCCTCTTGTCTGTGACACACTAAGATTTCAAAATTAGCCTAAGTTTATTCTTAGAGGAATAATTACAGTTCACTTCTGTGTTCATAGATGGAAACTTCCTGGCAATAGGTTCCCATGACAACTGTATTTATATATATGGTGTAAGTGAAAATGGAAGAAAGTACACTAGAATTGGCAAATGTTCGGTAAGTGCCCTTTTTTTTTTCTCCTGGTTCATTGTTGACAACTTAAGTATGTTTTGTAACACTGCATTAATACTGTCACATTGAGAGATACTGTTAATACAATATTCTTCTCTTTGTAGGGTCATTCCAGCTTCATTACTCATCTGGATTGGTCTGTTAATTCACAATATCTTGTGTCTAATTCAGGAGACTATGAAATTTTATACTGTGAGTAGGAATTATATTTAATCCTTTCATGCAAAGTTCAGGCAGTCTAATACAGATTTAAAATTTAAATGAGATCATATAATTACCAAGACAGACCATATGTTTTAATTAATGTATCTGGTGCAATCAAAAATCTATACAATTTGAGAATTAAAAGTGTCATCATGTGGGTTTTGGTTTTTTTCTTTTCCTTTTGTAGGGATCCCCTCTGCTTGTAAGCAAGTTGTGAGTGTTGAAACAACTAGAGATATAGAATGGGCCACTTACACCTGTACTTTAGGATTCCATGTTTTTGGTGAGTATCTTTCCTTTTAAAAGCTCTTATCATTCTTGTTATTAACAGACACTTGGATTGCCAGCTTTTTCTTACGAATGAATCCAGCTAGCTGGATTGCTAGCTTAAAGTGTAAATATTAAATTACAGCATAAGCGGGAGACAAGGAAGAAATCACACACTGCCCTTTCTGTCACACCTAGAGCTAATTCTCTTAATTTTTAATGTAAAGTGCCTGTTCTGTGGAATTATTGTTTATTGAGGCAGCTACTGGGCCAAATCCCCTGACCAGAATCAGTTTCATTTGCGCTAGTTGCTGTGCAAACACAGAAGAGTGTCATGAAGTTCTTAGAATGTATTTTGATACAACATATAGCTATTGAATTAATTGAAAGGAATGCAAGAAGAAAAATGTAACAAAATTAGTATGGTTTGTTCCCATGGGTTTTCTCTGCTGCCAGTTTTGAAGGAGCTTCTTGCCCCAGAGTACTCTAAAGCTTAGTGCTTATTCCACAATGCGCGCAGCTCTAGACAGATCATTACAAAAGCGTGTGTGTGAGAAGCTTCAATTCTTGAGTCCTCAAGATAAAATAGGAAGCCATGGTAGAAGTTCAGAGAAGAGTCTGGTTTAATCTAAGCAGTATGCAAGGAAGATTTTCAGCCATGTTTCAAGTAGAATTGATGCAGTGATGCGTTTGAAGGCAGTTAGAAAGGACATGTTTTTGGAACCTATCGATGGGATGGCAGTAGCAATATGCTGGAAGACATATTCAGATTTTGTGTAATTTAACTGACGAGCAGTGGTTGGGTATCACGACAACATACAGATTTAATAAAAAGAGGAAAAGCTAGAAGACTGGCTGCATATTGGCATGATGTGTTTCTCATATGAGAGATGAAGGTCCTTACAGAGCTACTAACGTATTCCTGGGGTTTGAGTATACCTGACACAGAGTCACAGAGCTGCAAAGTCTTTGCATTTAGCATCACAGGTCCAGATATTCTGATATGCAAACAATGTTGGATATTTCTTACTTTATAATTTGGATTCATGCTAAATATAGTGCTATTAGAATACAGGGCTGCTTGTGAGGCATAGAGTCATAGGAAAGGAGTGTCATTCCTGAGAGGACTTTTTTTCCTCGCCTTGCAATGGATCAGATATTGGAGCTATACTGTGGAACAAAATGATCTGTTAGGCCAATGGGGAGCTTGTGTAAACAGCATATACACTTTTATACTTAACAGGCTTCCATGCTGAACTGGTTTACTGTAAGATAAAACAATAGGGATGAAGAAGAAATAAAAGTAGCTGCTATTTTTAATATTAATCACAATTATCTTTTTAGTAATGTCAGAGAGATTGTGAGGATGTTCTTCAAATGAATGAAATCTTGAAGGGGTATAACTCAGAAAGCATATGCAATGCAGAAGGAGAGACCATGGTGCCATATATACCTTGGATTAATAGCTATGCAAATAGGTTCAGACTGGGAAGTGACAAAAATAATGCATAATAATTATAGATGAAGAAAAGAATATTAGAAGTCTTGCCTTCCAGAAGGATCAAATGAATGGATTTTTTTTTTTTTAATAGCTAGAGGAATTGGTAAAATCACAGGAATTGCTGAGGATGTGAGATCTTAAGTATTCCAGTGTCTTTTGGGAAAGGAATTGCAGTACAGTGACTAACAAGCAAGTTGTCAAAATCCTTCTGATACAGGAAAATAGATGAGCACCTAGAGGAGAGTTTCTTCCATATTTGATTCTGGGAAGTTGGAAAGAACTTGCTGAGAATGTAAATGCATCTTGTGTAGGAATGACTGTGGAATTAGGAAGGTGTGATCTTTACTGTAGGAAGGAGAAAGAGCAACAAAATTAAAATAACGGACTGCAAGGAGGCAAACTGCAAAAATTCAAAGCCCTGTTAGGGAAGATCTGGAAAAGGTGAGATGTGGTAGTTGCTCTGGATGGTATGAAGTGCACAAACTCTGCCAGCCCAGAGGAATGATAGGAGTGATGGTGAGGCACAAATTTCGTTAAACAGTTGTTGACCTCTCCTACAAGGAAGAGGAATGCAGGAAGTACAAGCCATTGGAGGATCAAGGAGACACATAAACAAAGCCTAACTATAAATGCATGTGATGGGTACAGGTATAACAGAAGGGCCATTGAAAATATTGGTCTGCTATGTGGGAATGAGAGATGACACTGCTAAGGCTGAAGTGTTAAAAAAACAGACACTTTTTTCTTTTCTAATATGTCTTTATTAGAAGAGTTACTATAATCTGATGGCTAGACCAGTTACTGCCAGTCATCAAAGGGTAAGGCCTCTGCTTTCAGTAAGGAAGGAGTAGATTGGAAAGTAGTTAGAAGTCAGACCTTTTCAAAGTATCTGAGTGTGATGAACCTTGTTGTACCTGTAAAAACAACTGGTTAGCATACTCTCAAGACCATTAGTACTTATCTTCAGGACCTCACAGAGAACAGGCAAAGTACTGGAAAAAAGGAGAAGAATGAATGTAGTATCTGCATAATCCTACATTTACCTCCAGAGCCCATATGGAGAAGATAAAATGCAAAGTTAGTGGCTAGAATAATAAATTGAAGAAGCTCATAAATTATAAATTGGAAACCAGTCTGGTAATGTTTGAAGTCACTTTACTGTTCTGTACTTTGGGGCCTCAGAGCAGCCAGTATGAACAGTCTTTAGATGCTTGCTGGGAGTGCCCCACTGGACATAGACGAAGCAATCATATCATCAAGGACGTGAGGCTTCTGGTATATTGATTTTTCAGTAGCTAGTGGCTGACTGAAACTAAGGATATTTTCTCACAGTAGTAGAACCACATTAAAATCACAGCTAGTGTGCATTGTACTTGCAAATCAACATAACCAATGCAGGGGGGGAGATGAACATTTATCTATTGAACACCTGTTTTGAAGCATGGGAACAGATTAGTCAGCCTGGAAACGTTTACTGATGATTCAGTTGAAAATCAACAGCATGTGAAGTGTGTTCAGTGGAGGATATTTTAGTGATACAAACACATGTAAATGTGGAGGACTAAAGACTTTAAAACACCTACTGATCTGTATGCTCTTGGAAGAGCCATGTGCTGCTGGATATGCAACCAAGTTCACGTCACGTGCCCAGTTTTAGAAAAATCAATATTTGAGGTGACGGCAACAGAAGAAATGTAAGGTGCTCTGCAAATCCCAGCCACATTGCCAGCAAAGCAAAGCCCAGACTGCTTGTGTTCAAAACTGACTAGAAGACTGTACACTGAATGTTATGTTTTAAAAAGTGTATTTTTTAATAGCATGGATGATAAAACAGGATGTATCATTTGTAGGTAGCATGAATCAGAATTAGCAAATTGTCTTGAGAAACAGAGGGATGGTATGAACAAGGAGACAATTTGGTTGAGACAAATAGGAGTTCACACACTTGAGCAGCACAGTGGTACAAATGCAGAACTGAGGAGAGCAGGCAAGGGAGAAGATCTGCACAGGAAGATCAGATTACTCTTGCATACAAGCTGAACGTGAGTCAACAGCAATATGCTGTTGTGGGAAAGGCAGATGCTCTGGTGGGATGTGTAAAGGGAAGGACACCATGCCGAATGTGAAGGAATCGTCCATTTATCAGCGTCTGCCTCGGTCACAGCCGGAGTAGCTGCTTCTGGCTTGGGCACGTTGGATCAACAGATAAAGTGCTGACTAGCAAGAATAATTACCCATCTAAATGTTGTTCTGGGAGAAGAGATGTCATGAATGAATTTTAGAGAAGGGAAGGGGAAACATGCATGGCAGCAATCTTCACATATGGGAGAAAAGAGATAATCTCATTCCATGCCTGCAGAGGATGGGGTAAAAGCTGACTAATTTTTCAGCAAAGGGAATTCAGTTTACATTCTCCGAAGAACTGACAGTGAGGCACTGGAATGAATTTTGAAAGAGCAGAGTCTGAAACTAAAAGCCTGCTCTGATCCTTTTCATGTTTCAAAATGGTAACCTTGTTTCTTAAACAGTTTCCTTTAGGGGTTATCTCCAGCAAGCCTGGCATAGTGACCTCTTGAGAAGACTCTTGCCTCTTTTCAGCTAGCATGTGCTGATTGCAAAGCCTCCTTTTGGCAAAGCAATTATTTACAACAGCTTTTCTGTGTCTCTTCATTCTATATATTCATAATCTCACAAGTAGCAATTGCTGTGTTTCTTCTTTGCACCTTCCTTTTCTTTAAGGCTCTTATTTACTGTCCATGATCTAGCAAAGGAGTGTTTCCACACACACACCAGGAGAATTAGGGGTAGTCCACAAATCAGTGTTTGGTGTTACAAATTATTTTAAATAAAATGAAATTCCTTATAGAGACATGGAATCACTTTCTTTTAATGCTTTTGAATTGCTTGACCGATGCCCATTTTGGTGTTGCCAGTGGCCCAAAGAAGAGAAGCTGGAGTGTGCCTGCCCTGTCCATAGGCATAGCCATCCTTCCAGGAGAGGGGAGGGGCAAGCGAGGGGGGCAACTGTCTCATCCTGGCCTGTAATAACAAGGAAGCAAGAGCAGGCACTGAAGTGGTGGGACCTCAGGGGGACACTGCAGAGAATGTGTGATACAAGGGCAATCATTGAAAATCATAATACCAAGACAAGGCCATTTTTTTGCCAGATCATAATGGCAGAACGTATATTATAGCTGATGATGTCAGTGGTCTCAGAAAGTTTAGGTAACATTTATGTTCAGTAGGAATTTGATAAAATCTGAATTATGAAAATAATTTCAAAAACTTCACAGTACTGCATACAAAAAAAAAAAAAGAAATGTCAATAACTGGTGGGATTTTATTACAATTACAATTTGTTGCAGGCAAATGTTCAGAGGTTTTGAAGGTGTGGTACATAGGTTTGGTCCTTGCATTGATGAGCCCACAGTTTAATATTAGAACAACACTTTGTGCAAGAACAGTAAGGAGTACAGTATGTGAACTTCATAGTAGCTTCAGTTTCTTTTCCAGGGATCTGTTAATTAGTAAATAACATTTTAAACTATATAATTTCTTGTATCATAGGTTTTAGACATTAGTATTGAAGAAAATGCGTTGAATCATACATAGGTAGTTTTCTAGACTACAGTATGAAGAAAGTATGTTAGCTCATATATAAACAGAAGGGAAAATAAAAGCAGTGACTGTTATTGTTCACATAACCATATGAAAATTCTTTTAGGTTCAGACACATGACAGCAATTCAGCAGAAATTTTTTTTCAGAGTAAAAAGCACATTGCTGACTAGAGAAAATAAAGTATTTGCTTATGTGCTTGATTTCCTATAATGGTCTGGTTTTTTTGCTGGTACTTAGTACGCATACTGACTAAGCTGCAGTTATTTTTACTGGATTATGGTTTTTAAACAAGTAATGCTTTATTAATATTTTAACAAAATATTAAGATATCACTTTTATTTCCATTAAAAAACCCTTTAATTAGTTTCTCTGTGATCCAGGTGTATGGCCTGAAGGTTCTGATGGAACAGATATCAATGCTGTCTGTCGATCACATGGGAGAAAACTGCTATCAACAGGGGATGATTTTGGCAAAGTACATCTCTTCTCATATCCGTGTTCACAGTTTAGGGTAAGGTATTTCAAAAAATTTTCCTCTGGTAACTTGCACAAATTTGTTAACTGTTGTTATCCTATTTAAAAAAAAAAAAAAGCATGAGAATCCAGCCTAAGGGATTTACTTAAGGTTGGTTGATACTGCAATCAAATTTAAAATTTGTTTTAATATTAAAATACTGTAAGATAATGATGTTATGCCTTGGTTTCATTGTTGCACGGATATTATCATTTTTAATGACAATTAACGTTCTCACTAAAATGATGTTTTCTAGGCTCCCAGCCACGTGTACGGTGGACATAGTAGCCATGTAACTAATGTAGATTTTCTCTGTGAAGACACCCATCTCATCTCCACGGGCGGAAAGGACACAAGTATTATGCAGTGGCGAGTCATTTAAAGGAAACATCAGTGTGAACATACACAGTTGAGTCGACCATGCACAGAACTTATGTATAAACTGTATATTTAAAACTTAACAGTATGTTTGCAGTTTAGCCTGGTCACTGTGATTTTTGTTTAAAAAATTCTTACAAACCTCAGGAAAATTATAAACCCTGTGCTGGTTACCTTACTCGGTCTAGTGATTTTTATTTTTTTTTCATTGTGTCACACCTTAAGAATGATTGTTTTCTCTTCTGTTGTACAATATGCAATGCAGTACAAGTTTAATATAAGAAATGTGGCTTGACAGTTTGCAATACAGTGGTGTCAGCAGAATGTGACTATCTATCTTAAATGTTTTCTATAAACACTGCTAAAATGGTCACAAAAATGCCTTTCAAAGACTGTATATATGTGCTTATTTGTTTCACTATCTACACTTTGTACTGTATACTACTTATTTAGAAAAATCTATGACAGTGTCAAGGTACTGAATTGTTTATGCTGGAGGATGATGAATAGATATAAAAAAGTACATACCGAGATGTAAGACGCAAAAATTAGTGTTCTAGACCTGAAAATGTGAATGCTGGTCAAGTTGCATCCTCTTGGGAATCGCACACCCTGGGTATCACCCATGAGGAGCTGTGTTCCCTTTCAAATGAATCAGCAGGTTACGCCCCAGTTTGACCTGGATATCTCAGCAGGGTTTATAGATGTCTATGTGGTTCAGGTATTCCGTATGAGTTTAAATTAAAAATCTTTTTATTTGTATATGAACAATTTCTTTTTGAAAGCAAAACGAAAAAGCTTGGCCACATCCCCATTATTGGTTGATATATTTAACTAATATGTATATTAATCAGCATGATGCTATATTGTACATGTATAAGATTTTAGCAATTCATAACAAATGGTAAGGCCATCTAGCTTTACTTTTTTATGCTTATGGATATTGTATATTTGTATTTTAAGACCAAGTAGACCAAGTCTAAAGATATCTTTTTAAGTGTACCATAAACCTGCAGAAGGTAAAAGAAGTCCTGGAAACCTACATGAGACATTAATGTGTAACTTCTGGCCCCTGTGTTTTGTGCATGGATGGATATTTATAGTATGAAATAAGATTGTGTTTTGCAATGAAGTAACAGTGGAGGTGGTATAAAATGGTTAAGAAGGCCTTATCAATGTTGATTGTGACACAGATTGAAATGTATTGTTTACTTTGAGGAATGTATCTGAAGAAATTTAAAAGAGAGGAGTTCTAAATGGACTTAAAAAAGATAATATTAAAATTTTGCTTGTAATGGACAGTAAACATTAATTCTTTGAACTCTAAAGCACTGGTTGTTTAGAGTGATTTAAACAAAATGGAATCAATAAATTTTGAAAATTTTTTATTTCATCTCCAACCTCCTACACTGAAAGTGCAGGACACCAATAAACATGTATTAAAATGAATTTTCAATGCATTCGTCATGTTTAGTAAAATATCTTTGTTTAAATCCTTGTAGAAGAGACAGGCTTTTACTTGACACACATTTGCAATTTCTCAATTAGAGCTGCATTTGAAAATATTTGAGAATAAGGTCTAGATTTTGGGCTATATAATTTCCTGTGTGAGCATGACCCTAGGAATGTGATCCCTAATGCACACCTGGAGAGTGAAACTCGAGCTTCACGGCAGGGAAGAAGGACATGCCACATGCTTTCACCTGCAAAATGCTTTGGTTCTGCCTCCTAGTACACATCACTTATTTCTGAGCTCTGGTGGAGGGCTGTCCTGCTGCACAGGTTTATTATGCTTGTGGCAAGAGCTCCTGACAGTTTCTCTGCTAGGAACTTGTCCTCAGGCAAGGGTTTCAGGGTCCCTTTAGCCTGACTGTTATCTAGCATTCTCACTGAAGGAGGAGGTCTTGCCCCCAGCTGCTTGTTCCCGTCCCGTGCAGCAGCACTGGAGTCACTGTAGCCATAGGGAGAACCCAGCTGGAAGATGGACCCAGGTTAAAATCAGTTCAGGGAAAAAAAAAAAAAAAGAAAAAAAGAGGCCAAGCAAGCAAACTACTACTACAAAAGAGAAACCCCTTTTCCTCAGTTTCCTCCTCCAGTTAAGCTGTACATCTGTATGGGTGCTTGTACTGAGCTTGGGCAGAGGAAGGAGCAATGTGGAGAAGAAAATTGGGCAGAGGAGCACTAGAACAACTTCTTTTGTTGATAATGTCAGTCTCACTCTGCTTGAAGTGTGTGAAACTAAGGCCCTACCCTTTCTAAGGTTTATCCACCCTGAGAGGCTTTATTTTGCAAGTAACAAATTCTCATTTTGTCTGTATGTGTGGCTGATTATGCCACAATACTGCCTGAGTGTGTTGTGGGTTTTGTGTGTTTTTGTTTGTTTGTTTGTTTCTTTGTTTTTGTTGTTGTTGTTGTTGTGTGGTTTTTTTTGTTTGGTTTGTGTGTGGGTTTTTTTGTTTTGTTTTGTTTTTGTTTGTTTTGTTTTTCTTTTGCAGGTTTTCTGCTTTTAGAATTGTAGGTGATTTTTCATTACATGTAACAGAGAAAACAGGAGCTGCAAATTGAGTTGGCTCATTCCCTTTTCATCCTTCTTCCACAGTGCTACTCTTGGGACATAATAATGTATTTGGTATCCCTTTCTTCATTTTAAGCTATTACACCTTATAAGAAATAGATGAGGAATCCTGCAAGTTCATGCCTACAGTTACTGATCAAAGGGGACTTTCAACAGTCCCATCCCTTCTGTGCCTCTGCTGCTCCTGTTTCTAACTTTTGCTGTTAAATGTGTCTTTGTTCCTCTATGAAAAGCTGATAAATGTATTAGCTGAACTGGCAAATGGTGGGTAACATCTTGAGCCAAATATCCGTTTGCCGACTGTTAAAGTGATTCTTCTTTCTTCATTCAGGAAATACTACACAATTTTGCCATTGTTATATATCATCTTCAGCTCTCCCCACTACTGTCGTTCTTCTTTGGTTCTTCCATTTATTTGTTTTCTTAGGAGTGTCTTCTTTTTTGCTTTAAAAGAATAAAAAAAAGAACAAAAAAAGTGGAAGAAAGTTATTCCTGAACTTTGTGCATTTCATTCCCTCAGCAGCACCTCGGGCTTTTTCACCTGATTCCTTCACCTGATACTCTGTCTGCAGCAGTTATTCTCCTTCCCTTCCATGTAGTGTAAAGCTGGTTCTCATGTCCATGGCTGGAGATACGGCCATGCTACTGCTTCTTCTCCTTCCCATCCCTGATCTTGGCTGCAGCAAGTGTAGCCTTGCTCAACAGAAAAAAAAGATGGATTTCTTCATGTTTCTTTTGTATTGCTGTTGTCTGCTAGGCGTTCAGCTACTCCCTTTCAACTTTCTTTGTTTCAAATCCTGTTTCTTGCTGTTTTTCCCCTCTTTTCTAGCATTGCTCTTCTATGACTTCAGCTTTTTTCACTGTTGTTGTACGGCATTTAGCAGTGGGGCTTTCTGATCCTGCACTCACCGTTACAGTACAGCTCTCCTATTTGTCCAAAATGATGAGCATGTGTTTTCAGGTAATGCTTCTGTGTCAGGATATTCAAAGCCATTAGCTGCTGAAATTGATAATATCTATTCTCTGAGTCTTAAATTATTCAGAAAGCAATACACATGCTTTCAAAAGACTTCTTCCTCAGCCTTCTATATAAAGCAAACACAGACTCAATCTGATTTTTAGGATCATCACCTATTTTCAGGTAGACGCTTTTCAGGATTTTGTTTGCCACTCCTGCCTGTTTTCATATATTTATTTTACTCCTAAAAGATACATATTTGTATTACATGAAAACTAGATCTGTTTTCAACTTATTTCTGTATGCACTATTCAAATTACTACCCAAAAGATGATTATTACATAGGTACTTTTGATAGTGCTTGATTTTGATGGCTTGTTGAAATCTGACAGTTATTAACAATTTCCAACAGATAAGCTCTACAAAAAATCTATCACTTTATTAAAAAAAAATATAAAGTAAAAAAACCCCAGTGAATAAAGAAGATAAAAGTAAGAGAAAGTAAATACTTTTTCAATGCTAGTGAGTTAAAAAACCCACACCATTTCAAATTATTAAACAAATCCTCTCACATTAATTTTGTTTCAATGGATTTCTTACTATTGCAATTAGCATAAGGCAAGGTTAATTAATAAAAGGTGGTATTTCCTGTGTGAAATGTTTTGATGAAATTTATTCTTTGAAAGAATGTTAGAGGATATTATCTCTCTTGAAAATTATTCATGTGACAAGAGCTTGCAAGGGCACACAGACCCTTTTTTGCAAGGGTTGGCATTTTTCATTTCTTTAGCTTCTCCTCAGACAAGCAGGCAGTCTTCTTGTTGTGCTTTCTACTCCGTCTCTGGAACTAGGGCTGTTGACAGATCCCTCGATTGCATCCTCAGAAATCCTACAGATGGCAGGGAAAATGTCACTTTAATTACCAGTGGAAAGAACAGGCTTATGAGAAGCCTAAAGAGAACTCTTTTTCTTCCATCACTGGCGGGGATTCATAGCCATGCCGGAGTGGTCCGATCACTGCTGTGCTGCCCTGGCTGCAGCGGGCGGCCCGTCAGGAGAGGTGCCCCAACCCAGAGCACCTCCTGGCCCAAAAGATGGGAGATGAGGAACCTGCTCCTGTGGGGAAGGACAGAATTGCACCCAGATCTGTCTGCTCCTGGATGGAGGCTGCTGGCTGCCAGTTGAGTGAGTACATTAGCAGTTCATGCTCTTGGTGGGAGGGGCTTGTGTTTCTCCTTAGTCATGCTGTTCTGTGGCAATTCCATTTTTCTTAATGGAACAATTTTGCCCCCTGAATTTATGAAATAATTGTAGAAGACAGATACTTTACACAGAGGTATTGATGACAGTTCAGTCAAAGCTGCGACCTAGCACTAAGCTGGGTAGATCTTGTGTCAGTAGTGATACCATCTGTGAATGCCACTTGGGGGACCTTTGTCAGTCAGGGTGTTTTACAGCACTGTGGGCTCCCCTTGGTCTCCTGCCAAATGTGGAAGTGTAAAAAGGTGCCTCCTTTTGACAGCCACTATGCTGTTAGTGTCACCAGACTCTGTAGGCATTTCTTTGGACCTTGCATTTTGGGTGTGTTTTTATGAAAGTCTGATGTCTTGGACTCCATGAAAAGTGGTTCTTCCCACTGGCTCCACAGTCCCAACTTAGGACAGGTTTGGTATTACTGTCTTTTGACTTTCTACAAGCTACATGAAATTAATTTAGGCATTTCCATTCATTGGTAGTAGAGATATCTGTACCTTAAAGATGGCCTCTTTGGATCTAGTCTGAGGTGCTGAAGTTGCAGCCATGAGAATTGCGACCTGCTTCTGGATCTCTGTACAACTGAAGAGGTTTTTAGCAGGAGCTTCTAAGAGATGAACACTTTAAAAATCTGACCTGTGGAATTACTTGGAATAAACATGTAGCCAGAGGGAAGCAAATTCAACTGCTCTGTGATTTCTGCTATCAGCACTACACAGGCTACATTTGCTTTAGATTCCAGGTAGTAGGCTAAAGAAGATTCCTTCAGGCTGTCCAGTCATTATGGTTAGGAAGCAGAAATTAAAAAGGTGGGACGAGTTCTGCAGCCACGTCACATGAGTGCCATTTGTCATTG